TTTCGTGAGTGGATATTTACCTGTGCAGGACTGGGGTCATCACTGTCTGGCAGAGCATTGCAAGATCATTCCATGGACACAAACCCACCCTCAACAGGTCAGCTGGATGGTGAGACAAACAACTTCCCAAAACAAAGTTGCAGATCTGAATTWGTGGCGTGTCCAGCTTGGTCTGAGTGCACAGATTTCTCCTTTCCCTGRCTCCAAGGAAGCCCCCAGCCCTGCTGTGCCAAAAGCTCCCATCCAGCTCCATCCCTGGAGCCCCCAGCCCTCCCCAGAGTGATCAGAGCCCAGGGAGCTCCCAGCCATGCCCAGCTCCCTGTGSCAGCTGCTGCTCATGGATTCCCAGCTGAAGGGTGCACAGTGCTTCTCTGACTGACAGGTTTATCTTCCAGTCCATTTACTTACTTAATTATCCCRGAGTGAGCAGGAATTTCTTATAAATATGGTAATAGGCCGATCATTGTGACAACAGAAGCACATTCTTGTACAGTTTGTGGGAAAAGCCGGCTTTCCCCAGTTTCAATTCACATCAGGCTTCCCCCACCAGGAGTCRGTAAATTAATAAACAATATCTGGTKACCTCAAAAWTCATCCCCCAGATSTRTGGCATCAGTCAGGACCTGYTTGGARCTGTCATCAKCTCAAGTGTTGCTCCTGTCCCACATYTTCCCATTTTTGTATAYATTGGRAAAGGCTGAAGCTYRTATTTCCCTTCACTTCTCTGAGTTGCTTCTGTGATGTCCAAGTTTTTCATTTGACAGCTCCAGCTGCTGTAAAAGGAGAGAGGATCCATGGACACCTCAGACCTAACTCACTGAAGATGAGGAAAGATTTTTCTACTTGATAGCAAGCATTGCTGTGGCTTCCTTTGTCAAGGAGATTCTACAAAAAATTATCCGGTGAATTGAGTTTGTAAATGCTGGTTTTCAGTGTAAATAATACCTTCCAGATTTAAGGATTGAAGCAAACGCCTGGTGTTAAAATAAAAGGCATATTCACACRGGGAAATGATGGTGAAGAGCCTGAAGCCTTCCTGTTTCCACTTCAGTAGGAATTTTTTGAGTGAAGGGGTAAGGGTTCAGCTGCAGGTCCAAAAGCTCTGGGGAGGTTGAATCCTGCTTTAGAAATCAGGGATTGCAGTGGGCTGGGGAGACATCCCTGCTCCCTTACAACCCCTGGATGTGCCAGCAGCTCCTGCCTGGATGATCCTGGAAGGTGTGAGTGCGCTCCCAGCACATGCACACAYTTTGTACCCACAYCTGTCACTGTCACCRGGGTGTGGGTGGCACMAGGGACTGTGCAGAGGTTTGCTGGGTGTAGCTGTGCCCAGGGCACAGTGAGCAGTCTCACCCCTTCTCCTTCCTGATTGCTTCCACTTCTCCCTCACTCTGAAATTCTGGAGCCTCTCCTCTCAGATCCTGTGCTACAATCATTCCTTGAGTGGTGCATTATCCAAAACAGCAAAATTGAGGTGACCAAGAGAGGCAGAGGAGTGCATGTCGCTCCATCAGCAGTCATTTATGCCAAGGCTCTGTGGAAACCATATGAGATTCTGCATTGTTTGGAGTTTATTTAAATTAATCACTATAATTACATTTTTGCTCTTTATAGAAAGCCTCCTATAGAGACTGTCCAGCTAGAAAATAAAAGGAATTTTGGAAATAGTTATTTCAGTAGCCTCTTTAAAGACATTGAGGAGCATCATGTAAAACACAGTGGGCACAGGGGGAAATAATTCTGCTGGGAGGTCGGACGGATGCCGAGCTCTGTTGATTTCYTCATTTTTCAAGGCTGGAGGCTTCTGCATGTGAATGAGTCCTTTGTTTTTTCAAGGCTTCTGGTACAGAAATATATGTGCTGCAACAAGCACTGATTTCCTATCCTGGAAACAAAAGCTCTGATAGCGAGGGCAGAGCACMGTGCTGGGGTGGACACCTGGGTGCCATGGAAAGCAGAGCAAAGAAGAAGGCAGCAGAAATCCTCCTCAGAGCCAAAATCCTCTGGCTCCAAGAAAAACCTTGGAGCAGAAATGGGTGAGATAAAGGTTCTTTCTTGGTACAGCAAGGTCAGCTGCAGGCAGAACACGAGGGGASCAGTAGCTCTGGCATTGCCATCTTCTTATTCTTATGTCTGGGAAAAAATCTAAAGTGAAGCAGCTACACTCTTTCAAAATGCCTTTTAAACATTTCTTATATTTGGCAAACTTTTTGGTTATTTTTTAGACCTGTATTTACATTATTCTTTACATTATTCTTTGCATTAATTAATCCCGCAAAATCATGTTGGATGTTCCCTGTTGACCACCAGATTCCTGCCTGAACCATCTACRTCTTAACAATCCTTTGAGACAAGATACAGGTCTTCAAAAAACTCCATCCCTGATATTTTCAGTTGCTCCTGATTAAGATGGAACAGTGCAATATGCTTGTACTCTGTACTGAATGATTTTCATTGTTTTCTGAAATCTGAAAGGAGAAAAAGCTCCTTCAGTTGTTTYCAGGAATCAAAATAATTCAGTTGGGTTCTTTCTGAAGGCTGGTGGATTGATCTGTGTTTCTGTTGTGACTTCTCTYGTGATGTTGAAGAGTTTAATCTGTTTCCCAAGACTCAGTTCATTTTTTAGCCCAAAGTTCTGAAGCTATATTGCCTTTATCTTGACTTAAATAATCTTCAGAGCACCTAGAGTTAATTCTGAACATCCTTATGCTAACAAACTCYGAACAAAATGTTGTTATCTGTAGGGAAAACGGAAATGAATACCTTCTTAAAATAATGATCTTATTACTACTTATCTTGTTACACTGTGGTGAGGTTCCCCTTGTTAAGCCACCTGCATTTGGAGAGGTTTATATACAAAAGCAGCATTATTAATTAATGCGACTGTGCGAGCTTTCTGCGAGCTATTATAATATTTTATTGTTATGGCTACTATTACTGTTATCAGATAGGCTGTTTGGGAGTTTGGAAAACGTGCTGGCGTCTTTCTGTTGCACAGGTTATCCTTCAGTGCCTTTCTTCAGGTTATAARTGTTTCTATTAAATTTGGGATGGAAAACAAGATCCCATAAAACCCATCAGCAGATTATTTTAGCCTCAAATCAGTATTGCTTAAATTATACAGGGACTGAAATGGGAGRCTGGTGAAGGTGTTCCTATCAACAGTAGATGGGGATTTTTTGTGTTTGAATGTGACTTTGGGCTGAAGGTCACCCAGGCAGTGAGACAGGGTCAGGGCATGCTTGGGCCACCTTTATCTGATTCCTGAGTGCCTGAATGATTTCTCAAATCAAATCATTTCTCAAATCATTTCTCAAATCATTTCTCAAATCATTTCTCAAATCAAATCATTCCTCAAATCATTTCCTGGCATCAGGAATCATTGCCTGTCACCTGGGGAAGGGTGGTTTGGGGAGAGAAGGGGATGCATCCCAGAAGGATGTTTGATTTCTCACCATGAGGAAGGTGCAGATCTTCAGGGCTCTGTTTTTGCCATTGTAACTCTACACATGGAGTAGAGTTGGAGTAGAGTCCTGTAAGAGGCCATGGAGTTCCAGGCATCAGGGCAGCTCCTCTCTGATGAAAGGCATAAGAGGCCTCACACCAACTCTGGCATTTATATGGGTTCTTAAGCACTTTGTCATCCTRGAAGTCACAGAGAAATCCATAAAACTGTCTAGGAAGATATAAAAGATCCCAAGCTCTTTATTTGCAGAGATTAAACAAAGGCCTGAGGATATAAAGTTATGTCACACCTGGGTCCTGTGACCGACAGGGAAGCTGCTGCAGATATCACAGGCTTGGTCACATCCCATTTCAGTTATCCCACYCTGCAGTGTGCTCATCTATCCAGCTGGGCCTTATGCAGGAGCAATTCTTGACCTTTGAAACTGGTCTGGACTCTTTGTTGTTCTTCCCGTTTCACCACACACATTTGGAGATGGGGAATGGGGACCAGGATAAGGGGCCCTACACCAAACCGGGACACAGGGCATCTGAGTTTTTTCTAATTCTGCCCCAAACCTCTCTCTTTTCTTTCTGTTTCCTCTCTGCTATGGACCCCTTGTGTGTACCAAGGCTGGAAACAGTAAGGGCAGAATCTCTGGGCCCAGACATGGGATTTCAGTCTGGCATGAATGGCCTCAAGTTTGGTTTGGGACTTCAGAGGGAAATGGGTGAATTTTCTCTCCTTCTTGAGGTGCCTGTGGTTCTGTGCTCACCACAGTGYTTCCTCAAAAATTTCCAAATCCCAAGTTGTGCCTTGGAGCTGGTTTTTGTTGGTTCTACCTTTGTTTCCACCCTCCTTTGTTTTTGAGTGAAACTGCTTCTGAAATGCTCCAGGCTAAGATAGCCCCCTGATTTCAGAAGCCTTTCCTATCTGTTGGATCTGGTGAGTACAGATTCTTCCCCATCAAGGACAGTGGTGAAAAGCCTCAGCACATTAATAATAGGCAGGGAAAAATCAATGAGAAAGGTGTTGGGGGGGGGGGTTTCCTTTTTTAATCCTTCGGGATCTCTTGCTCGTTGCTCTGAAATCCTTCCTCCCAAGGCACATTTGCAGGACCCTCTTTGTTACCCTAACGAGCCAAGCCATCGGCTCCGCTGCTGGCCGCAGGGCTGAGATCCCAGCCTGGGGAGCGATGGATCACCGGCGGATGGATGAGTTTCAGCCCTTTCTCTAGAGGAGTTTGCCACCTACTGATTCACAGGTTCCTTTCAGCTCCTGCCGAGACAAGTTGAGGGGGAAAGCTGGGAATTTAGGGGTAGGTGGGGATGCCCTGTGAGAGCCGWGCCAAGCCCCCCGGGGGATGAGCAGGGATCGGGGGGGATGCGGCTCGCACTGTTGAGCGAGAAGGGGAAGGCGCTGGGTGGAAGCGCCCGGCGTTGTGAGTGTGCGTGTGCGCTCTGTGTGGCGGGGGAGGGATGAGGATGAGGAGCGGGCTCTCTTTCTTCCTCTCGGGGCTCAGTTAATCCTGCTGCCAGGCGCTGCTCAGCGGCAGTCTCAGCGCTGGATCCGGAGCGAGGGAGACGCGCATCCCGGAGGCGCGGCGGAGGGGAGGCGAGARAGGCGGCTAAAGAGAGCAGAGCGGGGGAAAAATCAAATCTATGCTTGGAACTGGGCTTCTTTTTCGCCAATGCAAAAGGGAATATGCAGCACATTTTTGCCTTCTTCTGCACCAGTTTCCTAGGGGCGGTGTTAGGGGCCAATTTCCCCAACAACATCCAGATAGGTGAGTGCGGGGCTGGGGGTGATGGTCCCTGGTGAGTGGGTAGGGGTGGAGAGGGGGTGGCGGGGGGAAACTGAGAGATTATTGTGCTTGCCAAGGCAAAATGTGTGTGTCTGTGTGTGCGAGAGAGCGAGGGGGTGAACAGCGAGGGCTSGATGTGTGCGCTGGTACCCGCTTCGCCGGAGCAGAGATGGATCAGTTTGGCTTTGGGGGAGGGGAAGATTGGGAAGAAATGCCTGCACACTCACACATACCAACAGAGAGGGAGAAAAGTGCCTCTGAAATGGAGGAAATACGGAAAAAAAAAGGATCTGTTTCTTGCCCTGAGGGATGCCCGGGCTGCCATTGTGTGTTGCTGCATTTGCAAAATCGGCGGTTGCATGGTGGGTTTTTGGTGAGGATGCTCTATCCTGTAGGTAACTGGGACGGGAGGCAACAAACAGACGCTCTCTGTTGTTATTGCTAAAGAATAAGGGCAGAKCTATTGGAAGAAGATGTTGCATTGAAGACTCTTCCCATTTCATGCCACTTGCTTCCCCTCCACACCAGCAGTGCCTGTTTGATTCCTTCCTCCCTCGCTGTAACTTCTCAGTGCTCCTCTCCCTCCTTCCCCAGGTTTATTATTATTCCCCCATTGATCTTTATCGGTGATCGTTTGTAACCTAGCCCCAAACCCCCTTCCCTCGCACGCCGCTGTTCTTTCCCGCCTCCCTTCTCTTTACAATGCCAATCAATTGCTAATCCACCAAGTTCAGGCAACTCCTGCCCGAGTCCAGCKGCACAATCAGTGCTTTTATTGCTGTTGATGCTGCATCCTTGTCTCCCTCCCTTCCTGTCTCCCCTTTACCCCAAATTTGTGGGGAAAAAAAATCCCAGATTTTTTTGCCTTTCAACAAACACAACTTGGCTACGAGCATCTGAATTCCTCCGTTATCCATGATTAGGCTGCGGGGTGGGAGGAACGGGGGTGGTGGGGGGATATTGGTGCACAAATAGCCCTTTTCACACSAGGAGATGCCCCCTCTACTAAAGATGTGCAAAGTGACGTTGACGGCAGGTCCTCGCCTATTTGWTTCTTCCTCACGGCATCTTGGGCATTGATACTTTCTGCAGCTTTATTTTAATTCTCCCTTGTTGCTAAGTGCTTTGTTTCYCTCCTCCTGAAATGCCGATAGCAGCGCTCTCTTTAAATGCATATAGATTACAAGACAGGCTGCATTTAATAGCATCTTTCTGGAGGCTGTGAAGGGATCTGCTGCAAGCCAAGGTTCCTGCTGGGGGAGCAGCAGGAAACTTTTCCTGGGGCTGTGTTATCACCACACTTTGCTCCAGAYCCATGGGGGTACAGAGGCTCTGAGCTTTGGTCCAGCCCGGTCCCATTCCTACCCTGTTTTTGTCATTCTGTGGTTCTGGGATTGTCTGTATTTCTGTTTAGATTGTTTCCTTTGAGGGTCAGGCTTTAAGTTTCCTGCCCTGTTTGAGTTTGGCCGCTGTCACCTGTTAAATTCAGGGGTTTTCTGTGCAGCAAAGCTCCAGCAGCAGCAGCTGTTTTGTCACAGTCCTGTGTCACCCTCGCTCTCACACCCTGTCCCCCTGCTGGGCCAGGTTTTGTACCCCAAAACCCCACAGTGTGGGGGAACCCCTGAAACCCTCCTGCAGCAAATCTGCTCCCAGACAGCAGGGCTTAACCTGAGCCCTGTTACAGGTGAGAGGAGAAAGGAAGGCTCTCATTCTCCCTTTGCTCAGGTAACACTGCCAGCATCGCCGTTTCCCGTGCTGGAAGTTACGGGGGGTGAGRAGGTTGAGCTGCACCCCATGAATTATCCCTGTCCTGGAGGCTGCTGGGCCTGGGATGCATCAGGGCTCCTGTGGTGATCCAGGGTTACATAACACACACACACTGGAAAGGTTTGCTGCTCCCAACCTGTCCGCAGTGGGCAYCAAACCCTTGGGTCTCTAAATGTATTTCTGAGTTTAGAGGCTTTGCCTGGGCTGTGGAGCTGCAGCCTCTGCTCGCAGAAGTGTTTTGACTGATGATGTTTCTGATATGAATGTTCCTGAGACATTTTTTCTTGTCCTGTTTTTCTCCCCAGGGGGGTTATTTCCTAATCAACAGTCCCAGGAACATGCAGCTTTCAGGTTTGCRTTGTCTCAGCTCACGGAACCCCCTAAGCTCCTTCCCCAGATCGACATTGTGAACATCAGTGACAGCTTTGAGATGACATACACCTGTAAGTACCACTGTCTGCTCTGCTCTGCCTTACTCTGGGTTCTCTATTCCTGACTTGGGTTTGTTTTGTGTCTGAAATATGGGACATCCTGCTCCGAATGTGCAGCTCGCCTTTAGGGTCTAAGCAAGAAAATCCCAAAGATATGGACAAAGGGTTTCTGAGTGGTTTTGGTTTGTGCTAAGGAACAGGGCTGAGGTGGTGCTGCAGTTATCAGCATGTCTTGTGTTTTCCCCTCCATGCATTCAAAGTGGTATAAAGCACCCAACATTCCTCTTGTTTCCSTAACCTCTCCCGACTCATTATGTCGAGGTTTCATCCCCATATTTCCCCTAGATGTGATACACAACAAAGACACCCCTTTCCACCCACAGAGTGCTCAGAAGTCTCTGTTTAGTGTGAACAGCTTCTTCCTCAGCCCCAGTTTAACCATCTGTCCTTGYAATTTAAGAAAGACCTAGCTGAAACCAGCAGCCTGGTGCAAGTGGAGTCCAAATCCACAATAAGGGGTGTGCCTAATAATGACAGAGAGGTAAAAGAGTGCTAGGTTCAAGAAATTAACTCATTGGCTCTAAAAACAGGCATTGAAAAATGAGTTTGCACCACAGAATTGATCTCAGGGTATATCTGCACCCTGCTAAAACACAGCACATTGGCTGTACTGTTCTCATTATATGATATAATTGGGATAAAAAACCTGTCTTGCTATGTAAAGGCAAGGTTRGCAGCAAAAGCCAAGACCAGGAGGAAACCAAAGGAAAATTGAATCCATATCACAGCCCCGTGGTTGCTGTGGCAGCCCCTGATTCCCTGGGTGCACAGGGTGCAGTGCTGGGGGTGAGGGGATGTGATGCACAAAGAATTCCTTGGCTTGACCTGGTGTCAGACACTGCTGCTGACACTCTCTGAGGCTGTGTGGGTATTTGGGGCTTCTAGGAGAGGCTGGAGGAAGCCTTCCCCGTGTAGAGCCTGTTGGATTATTGTTGGCTCCAGTCCGTAGCGTCCCCTTGAGTCACTGGAACATCCCCCCTGCAGCTCAGTTGTGTGGGATAGAGGTGAACACAAACTGTTCTCTCTGCTCAGAAATGCACAGAAGGGATCTCCTAGAAAAAAGAGCCAGGAATGTACCAGAGGAGAATTAATGAGGCTTTTTGGAGGAAGAAGAAAAAAAAAAAACAACAAAGTTGTGATATTTTCTGTTGGAGGGTTTGCAAATACAAGATTTCAGGAATTTCCTGCCCRGTGTGATATAGGAGAGAAAAGTAACAATTTGGCCACACTTTCTTTGCTGTATCTAATGGCATATATAAAGATTTTCTATTTTCCTTAATATCCCTCTATTTGCCAACTACAAGGTTTGCATCAAGAAGGAGCAACTATTTCAGCTCAATCCAGTGGCACTTTCTTGGCAGGAAAACCAGACAAATAGAAGAAAAAAGCCAGACCTTGTATCTGTCAAGGGAAAGCRTCACCCACCTGGGGTAGAGTTGCTGACTGTGGCTGGGGATGAGCTATTTCAGAGCTGATGGCAGGAAGAAAGCAGACACTGCAAGAATATCACTCGAATAAATCCTCCATCTGCACATGGCTCTCCCTCCCCGTCCATGCCTGCCACTAATGGTTTTGTTTACAGCTTTGATGGCAAGACCACGATACCAGCAATGCTTCAGAAATCTGTCATTAGTGCTGCGGGGGCAGGGGTGGTCTCACAAAAGCTGAATGGAAGCAAGGCAGCCTCCCAAAGGATGTTATATTTGAGCTCTATGTAGGGCACATTGTCCTAGATCAGACCAGCAGAGCACTCTGCACAGTCCAACTTCACTTGTCCTCGTTTTGCTTTTCTTATAATTAAAAACTTCCTAAGTTCCTCCAGACTATGGAAGGCAGCATTTGTTTTGTAGGSACAAAGGAAGGTGTTATTCCAGGTATCCTAGGGGTGAAAAAAAATCCCCAACCTAAAGAAAACAGGCCATTAGGAGACCTGATTTTTAGTACTCTAGAGCTGAAGTGAACCTTTTGTCAGGAATTAGCTCATTCTTCATCTTCCAGCTAATTCCYTGCCTGGTTGCCAAGACTAGATATCAGCAGAAAGATCTGTTTATTTGGAGAGAATAAAAACCCTGCCCACACAGTGGTCCTTATCTCCTGAGAAAAGACTGGCCGTGCTACCAGTTAAAAGTACCAGTTTTTGTTCCCATGGAGATGGAGAACACAGCATTTCCTTGCCATTGGCATAACCTGTTTCCATGACAGTTAAGTCAAGGGTGTTTGGACCCTGTGAACCTGATGCTTCACCTCTCTGGGTGTCCAAGAGGACATCCCAACTCCACTGTAAATCCCACTTGGTGCTGGGATCCATCCTCGTGTGCTGAATGCAATCCTCATGGCAAGTGCCTGAAGCAGCCTYGTTCAAAATACAGAACAATATTAAGAATCAGAGGTGACAGCAGAAGGAAAACCCGCGTTGGGGAAGCTTGTGGGGTGATGATGATGATGATGAAGAGGCAGGATGAAGAGCAGCACAGTGACAGCAGCCTGGCTGAGGAGATATTGTGCAAAATGCATCTCAGCAAAATGCTTCAGCTGTGGCTCTGCTCACCCCTGCCTGCCACGCAGCCACTGCTGGTGAGGGTGAGTGAGCTGTGGGGTGACACAGGGGGATGTCACACCGTGTGCTCTGTGCCCAGGTGACAGCACTGTGGATGACACCCCAGTCACAGCATTGAATTGGTCACAGTGACACCMATCYRAGGGACAAATCGGGGACAATATCCRGAGGMTGCTGGGGTGGCTGTGACAGTGACAGCCCAGCAACAACTTCCACATTTGTGATGTTTGAAGATGTGGACTTTTTATGGTTATGCAGTAATTCTGAAAACCTCTGTGCAGGCCTTTTGGTCCCTGTATGACACATCAGGAAATCATGATTTTAGGMAAACCATAATCATCAGGAAAGCAAGAATAGGTTGTAGAAACAACGTGTGGTGACTTCCTCTTTCATGTGTGGGGTTGATGCTAATGCTGTTGCATCACTGAGGCATGGGTTCATTTCAATAACTGAAATACCTTCCTGAATTCATTCCATCCCACAGAATAGCTGGTAATGAACACGCTCTGTGGCTGCAGCTGGGTGCCTGGTGAGGCTTACCCATATGAAAGTRCACACCTGCCACTCTGAGGGCTCTTAACTAAAGGTTAGGAGGCTTTATAATTTTGTGCTGTTTCTTCAAAGGCCAAGGGAATCGTTTAGAGGAGGAGGGTGAATTGAGAGTCCTTCCTTCAGCAGAATTACACAGCAGTGCCAGGTGACTGTAAAGGATAAAATGATGGCATGGTGTAGCTGGAAAGTTTACCTGGTGAGGTAGCAGAGCAAACCACTCCTGATCAGCTTTAAAGACATGTTGAGAGGTTCTGTCTCCAGCCATGACTGGAAAATAGCTTTATGGCCTCCACACAGTCTCTACAGGCTGGGTTTTGCCATGTCTGACTGCACTCAGGGCAGAGCCAGCACAGCAGAGTTGGTGCTGCGGGTCAGAGCAGACAGCAGTGGGAAGAGGGATGCTCTGTGCCGCATGTGAGGCCACATGAGCTCTGCAGCTTAGGAGACATCTGCAAATTCCTGTCCCTGGAAGGTCCACACCAGATGGGGRAACTGTGTACTGTTGACAGCAAAGGGGTGAGAGGTTTTTTTGCCTGAGACAACCTGTGCTGGGAATAGTTTGCTGCTCTTCTTCATCTCAGCCTCCAATTGTGCACGGCGTAATGCACATCCCCGTCCTGTGCACCCAGATCCTCGGGGAATATGAGTTGTTTCAGCTACAGCTCCATAGCTTTATTTAATTTGTGGTGCAGAGATTCCTGCTTTCAGCCTTTGGCTGAGGTCCCCAGGTGAGCCTGGCAGCAGCAGGAAGAGGTRGAAGCTGCTCTGGCTGTCCTGGGAAAAGGATGGCTCAGCAGCAGCGTGCCCTGGGGGCTGTGCCCTGCCAGCRGGGCTCACACAAAGTGAGTCACCAGCTCGGKAAATMTGTCCCTGCAACACTCAGGCCACTTTRCAGGGATGACCAGTGGCTAAAATAAGCCATGTTCATCACTGAGCCTGAGCTTTGCTGAGGCAGCCCCCAGATTTTGAGGGCTTGGGTGATGGGCTGCTGATAAAGGCATTCAGGAGCTGCACACCTGAAACGCAGGGGTCTGTGCAGGGTAGCAACAGGATTGTGCAGCTGCAGGAAAACTCGTAAAGAGGCGGAAAAACGATGAATTATTTATCCCTCTCCTTCCATGTGTGCACAGATGCAGTTACTGTRGGGTCCTCATACCGAGTGTGTGCTGTGGGTGCTGCTGGAATATCAACAGTTGAATCTGCTCCGCAAATTAGAAAATGAACACGTAGTTTGGATTCTGTTCATATTTTATGAGGGCCTCCAAGCACCAATTAGAGAGGGATTTGTAGTGATCACTCACTCTGTGCTTATGTTCTTATCAACAGCAGCAAGCTTACATCCAGATCAGCTACGAAATGAAGTCTTTCTTTTTCTTCTTTTCCTTGGATACTTACATATATAGAGAGAGTATTTATAGAAATTGCTTTTTATCTCTTAAATTACCTCTCAGAGATAGGAAGGAATAGGCAAGCAGTTGAATGTTCTCAAATGAGGATCTAAATTTGGTTTAATTAAACAATTATTGTGTGTTGAATTTAAAGGAAGCTTCTTTGTTGACAAACACATGATGGTCGCCATTTCTTGTGAAGGTGTTGCTGTAATTATTCCAGCAGTAATCAATTAGAAAGCAATTTTTATAATTAAACTTCCACMGTCTAAATAAGCCCAGCCCTGTAATAGTTGTGGTGTTGCTAGACTTGTTTTTATTTTCACAGTGTCAGAAATCTCATGTAAGAGCTTTGCAAATTTTTTTTTTGTCCCTGCAGAGCTTGGGATGCTCGCTATGACTATTTAATGTGAGCCAACAGAAACATGGATTTAATGATCAACTGCAGTCTGATT